TTATATATATTTTCTGCCACTGTTTCTGGGATGCCAAGCCATGCCACACAAGACTTACCCTTATGCCTATTCACAAATCAAGCCCTATGCAGAGAATTCCAAAGGCATAGCAGCATTACCATAACTCAGGCATCTGTAGACGCCAAGACTAAGTTGTGATTTTCATGTCAGGAGTGATTTTGAAGAGCACTCTAGTGAATGAATGCTCCATCATCAGAAGTAGGATCACCTCAAATGAATCATGACAAGATGATATTCAAACTCATCCTAAGACAAGTGGGAGGGAAGTGAACACACAAAAGGTACCTGACAAACCACCTTAGTTATTTTCAACCTTATTATAGGCAAAAAAGAAAAGAAAAGAGAACTGTGATCAGAATATGTTCCTTTATGAAGTGTAAATTTGCTTTGTTCAGAAAGTATTGCAAATATGGCTCACATATAATCTTTTGCTTCTTTCATCAAATAAAGTCTTGGGGGATCTCCTATCACACTTCACTTTTTTCTTGTCCATGAAACCCAAGCTGCCATTGCCATCTCTATTTCTACAGCTGTGCCCTGGAGTGTGCATAGCACCATTAGAAACTATTGCATGCTGCCTAAATGTGAAAACCATTTCAGTTGGTTATTGATCATGTATACAATTCAGTTCCATATTGGTCTTACTAGGAGTTGCTACAAAAAGTATTAACATCGAGTTCTTCTTAAGCAAGATACCTAATAGTTCTGGAACCACGCATGGAATCACAGTGGTACCTCGGGTTACTAACACCTCGGGTTACTAACACTTTGGGTTACAGACTCCGCTAACCTGGGAGTAGTACCTCGGGTTAAGAACTTTGCCCCAGGATGAGAACAGAAATCATGCAATGGCGGTGCAGCGGGAGGCCCCATTAGCTAAAGTGGTACCTCAGGTTAAGAACAGTTTCAGGTTAAGAATGGACCTCCGGAACGAATTAAGTTTGTAACCAGAGGTACCATGGTATTACTTTTCCCACTGTCTTCTAGGATCGCATTTCATGACTTCAGTGTTCTGTCCATGTGGCATATTCATGCAGATGGTCAAAGCCTGCCCACAAGTTTTTTAATAGTTATTTGCTAATTGACTGGGCTTTCAGACATTATATATTACATTGTGTAAACAATGCATGGCCAAGTTAACATCGAAACAACATTTAAAATGGCCTAAGTTATTAGTGCTGATTATCTTGGAAGGATACCAAAAAGGCAAGAGAGAGAAAGGAAGATGGATGTACTGTTTTGTAGTGCATGTGGCTGAGTTGTCATCCATTCTTATTAACAAATCCTGACAGCTTCAAATGCCAGAGGGGGAAAGTGCTGAGCTTTTCTGCAGGGGGGGGGGAGCTCTGATGGAGGAAGTGACCAGTGTTTTCCGTTTAGGAAGAGTGGGGGAGGACCTCCCAAACTGCATAAGACTGCTGAAAAGCTAATTGTTTTGAGAGTAACACCAGCCAGCCCTAAAGTTCACTTAAATGGGACACACACTTAGAAATTGCTGCTGCTTCTCTGCTCTGTTTATAAAGCTATTCCTCCTCTGTACTCTGTGTGAATTGAATGTGGGGCACGGCTATTAAAATCCAGTTCTAGCCTGCAGAAAGGAGTAGGAAGAAATCGGATTCATCTGTGTGTTATGCCAGCCCACTGTTATAAATTTGGATTTGGTATCCAAATTTATAACAGCGTACTGCTGGGGAAAGTTCTCGGACTGTACCTTTCAATCCCCTCTCTGAGAACATGCGACTCGCAAGTGCATTTAATGAGGATTTGCCATCCCTGGGAAGGCTCTAAATTTGGACTGCTTTCATCTTCTGTCCTTACTCTAACTCCCTTTATAACCTGGAGCAGTGATCTCTCCACAGTGGGTTCCTAGCTATGCGTAAGCCAAAGGAGGAGAAGGCATTCTATATATTTCCATTAATTTAGGGAGTGTAGTATCATATCCATTTTTAGCAATGTGAGCTTTTATTAGCGGTTAAGGCATTAGAAATTACGAATCCTTATCAGAGGTTTGAGTTCTGACTGGCAGACTTTTCCTGAGTAACAGAAGGCAATCCAAGTTTCTTTTGCCATTTGTGAACACAAATTATGTGAGCACCCCCACCCGACTTCTAGGGATGCTAGGCTGACCGCTTAAGCATCTCCCCCAAGAAAAAGAGAACTGTATCACTCAGACATAGGCTGAAAGGGGTCATAGCTTTTCATAAATTTACACACATTAATTTATATGTACAGTTTCACATTTATAAATGATTACTATCATTTAAATAGAAAGGGAGTACATTTCACTCTAGTGTGCAAGACTGTGCCGAGGTGCCCTGTGTGCCTGCTCAGTGTGAATACAGCCTCTTTATTTGTTATTAGATTTATATTCCAGCCTTCCTCCTGAAGGAGCCAAGGATTGCCTGATTATTAATGAATAATCAGATTATTTTGTTACCATGTAATGACCTGAGATGCATTTGTCTTATGATATACCCAGTACTACTTTGTTCTATATGGTTTGGTTTGTCAAACCATACTGTTTCCTAATTGTGATATCATGACCATAACAGTCTTGTTTTCCTCATTCATTTAATGCAATATTGGGATATTTCCCACGTACATGGACTTTAATAAAACCTTATGTACTTGGATTGCTTTTTGGGAAGGGGTTTGCATGGTTTGTTTTTCTGGATATTAAGCAGAGTATTTTGGGAAACAGGAAAATCTAACTCTTGTGTAAAATGGTTGAAACCTTTGGCCATTACTAATTTTTCATTATGCAGTGTTGGCAAACTGAGCATTTAAAACTGATTTGGGATCCTGTTAACAACAACAACGACAACAACCCATCTGGCTGGGTTTCCCCAGCTACTCTGGGCAGCTCACAGCATATAACTATAACATCAAACATTCAAAACTTCCCAATAAGGGGCTCCCTTCAGATGTCTTCTAAAGGTCGGATAGTTGTTTATTTTTTTGACATCAGTAGGGAGGGTGTTCTACAGGGAGGGTGCTACTACTGAGAAGGCCATCTTCCGTGTTTCCTGTAACCTCACTTCTCGCAGTGAGGGAATAAGCAGAAGACTCTCAGAGGAGGACCTCAGTGTCTGGGCTGAACGATGGGGGAGGAGACGCTCCTTCAAGTATACTGGGCCAAGGCCATTTAGGGCTTTAAATGTCAGCACCAACACTTTGAATTGTGCCTGGGAACACACTGGGAGCCAATGAACATCCTTTAGGACCAGCGTTATATCGTCCCGGCAGCCACTCCCAGACACCAGTTTAGCTGCCGTATTCTGGATTAGTTGTAGTTTCCAGGTCACCTTCAAAAGTAGCCCCACACAGAGCACATTGCAGTAGTCCAAGTGTGAGATAACCAGAGCATGCACCACTCTGGCGAGACAGTCTGCGGACAGGTAGGGTCTCAGCCGGCGTACCAGGTGGAGCTGGTAGACAGCTGCCCTGGACACAGAATTGACCTGCACCTTCATGGACAGCTGTGAGTCCAAAATGACTCCCAGGCTGCGCACCTGATCCTTCAGGGGCACAGTTACCCCATTCAGGACCAGGGAGTCCCCTACACCTGCCCGCCCCCCAATTTTGAATTGTATTTGAATAATAATACATATAGGCTTATTAAAAACAAATTATTTATTGCTTACAATATGGCCATGAAATAGTGATTAAGGTTGCATAAGTTGTTCAGATGCAGAGTATTCTTTAGCAGATTGGTTAGTATGCAGACTCCCTTTATAAAACGATGGTGGTATATGCTAATCTGTGGGGAAATATGTTGCCCAATATGTCAAGCATAATGGGGTATGCTGTATATACTTGGTTGTTTTTTGTGTATATTCTTTAAGCCAACAAGACCAGCCTTATTCCAGAGCATCTTGTAACTGGAGATGACAGTGTCATCATTGTAAAGTAGCTTTGAGTTACAATGAAATACTGTGAAGGAGGCTACTGAAGTCATCCTGGTGAGAGCCTCATAGAGATGATCTCTTGAAACGGGAAGCACTAGTGCATTAGCTCATTTGTGAAGCTAAGCTCCCAACTCATAAGAAAACATGACAAGGTTCATCTAGTCCAGCATTCTCAGATGCCTCCATCTTTCAACAAGATATAGCAATTTGTATTACCTACTGAGAGGATATAGAGTGTAGTGAGGGGAATAGTGTTAGGTGACAAGGAGGAAACAATGACTTGTCCTTAGCTGTCAGCTCGTTCCTCTTTCAAATCAGGAGAGTAATTGTAGCTACTTCCTCACTGGATTTTAGGGTTGTTAATATAAATGTGCTGACAGATGTTAAGAACTCAATACTTTGGTAGGATAACTTTGGTAAAACAGAGTGAGGGTAAAATATGGGATTCTGCAAAAGGGACGAGTAGTATTTGACATGGATACATTGTGGAACCTTGGATTTGAATTTCTGGATTGGGCATAGACTAACTGGTTCTCTGCTTCACTCTGATTCTGTAAAGTGGTGAGAACTCACATTAAAAATAATTTTAATGAGTGAATGAGATATTGATAATGAAGTAGTTTGTATATTAAAAGTTCTGTATGAATAGTAGCTAACTGGGTGATCAGTTTTGCAAACAAGGGTGAGTTTTGTGTGGCCTTATCTTCACTAAAATTAAGATTGGGGTGGGGGAGAACTCACAGTTGCACTTTGAATTTGTAATGATTTCTGCTTTTATAAACTAATCTTATATTATAATATAATATGTAATAATATAACATGAATCCGCCACTGCTATAGATAGGCACTGGGATTTGCAGGTGACTCCAAGCCTCTGCTTGCACCATGGCTGAGTGGTGCCTCCAAAGCCATATCTCGTTCCTGTGTGGGCTGCCACTGGCATCGCAGTACATCCGTCTTAATATTCTGTTCCACTAGCCACTCCTGAACAAATGCACTTTTCAGCTCCTTGATGTTCTATTGATGGTTGTTCTTGTTTGATTGGTTGTTGTTGCTGTTTTTCCTTTACAGTGTGCGGGTGCGACTTAGCTCAAGGTGGCTTTTTCATTAAGAATGGAGATTACCTTTGTACTGTGGATTACCAGCGGATGTACGGGACCCGATGCAATGGCTGTGGGGAGTTTGTGGAAGGAGAAGTTGTAACTGCTCTTGGGAAGACCTATCATCCTAACTGCTTTGCCTGCACTGTATGCAAGTAAGTCATCTGATGTTAGATAAACCACTTCAGGACTGCAGACAGTACCAATGCAAAGTAAGAGATGCATATTAAAAATTACATACATGATAAAACATTATATAAATGGTAAATAGTGGGGGGAGGGGTAACCTTCTCCCTAATACTATTTTCCTACTGAAAATACTCTCTTTTTCCTCACCCCTATTTGCCCCTGAAGCTGAGTGACACAGAACCAAATTATTATTATTATTATTATTATTATTATTATTATAACAACAACAATAACAGCAACAATATCATCTTTCTACTCCTGGGTTGGAAGACAATTATAATTCATGAAAGCTATTTTCCAGTTACTAAACTGTGAAGGTTAAGTGTGAATGTAATTCTGAGTACATTGGAGCTTGGAAACTAAGCGAGACTCTTTCCTGGTTAGTACTTGATTGGAAGGCTGCCTGGGAATACTTGGTGCTGTAAGCTTTTCCTTCTTATGTTAAAGGTTGTAGTTCAGTGCTGTTCCCAGGGGACCTACACTACTCTGTGACTGTTGAGAAGATTAGAAATTGCTCAAACTATGGGGGCTGGTTGAGCACATCAGTTGCTGAGCATGAGCCGTCTGATTAGCACTTAGAATAATAGAATCATAGAGTTGGAAGGGACCTTAAGGATCATCTAGTCCAACTCCCTGCAATGCAGGAATATGCAGCTGTCCCTTATGGGGATTGAATCTGCAACCTTGGCATTTATCAGCATCATGCTCTAACCAACTAAGCTATCTTAACTTATTTAAAAGAAGCTGGATGTCCAGAATGCAAAAGACTGCTAAGTGGTTGATTTTTGCATGAGCATAGAAAGTCCATTGGCCCTATTTCCCAAATGAAAACCTTCATGTATGCTAGACTTTTAAAAGAACAACCTCTTCATACTGTTCCTGTGATATCTTTTTTTGAAGCGAAACTATCAGTCAGTCTCATCTAACATCTGCTTCTCTTCCAGTGGAGGTGCATTTAGTCTTTTGGATTTTCTCCAAGTGCCTGGCTTTGCCAGTGTTGCATTTTGAACATTTTTGGCCCACATTCCTGCGAGATATTGATTTGCACCAAAGGCGGCGGCTGAAGAGAGATGAGAAAAAGACTGAAAGAATGAAACTGCACAGATAACCTTGAATTAAAATCCTTCTGTTCTTTCATTCTCCAGACGTCCTTTCCCACCAGGAGACCGGGTTACCTTTAATGGAAGAGACTGTCTCTGTCAAATGTGTGCTCAGCCTATGTCATCCAGCCCAAAAGAACTCTCCAGTTCCAGCAGTAAGTACTCTGTAATCTTTTCCTAAACTACAAAATTGAACTCTTGGATAGCCTCCTCTCTGTTTTGTACCATTTGTTCAGTCTAACCTGAGCAGTGCTGATTTGTTTCTGGGGCTGCTCAGTTCTGCATTCTGGAAATCTGAGCACTACATTTTTAACCATGCATGGAGAAGGTATTTTGTGAATTAGTCTCTTGAGCTGATCCCATGACATGTCTTTTCTCTCAAAATGCATTCTAGTCCCTAGCGCTTTTGATAGTAGATGCTCCAGAGAATATACAACCTAGTTTTGCCCTGTTGGTGTAAGTGCTGTGATTCCCATTAAAAGAAAAAAGTGAAAGTGAATTTGCAATGTTTCAAGTAATTGCTACGTATAAAAAGAATTTTAGAAAGCTGAAAATGACCTGAAGTCTAGAGAGTGGTAACATAACATTTGATCTCACAGTTCCCTTATTGTGATGGAAAATTTGTATCTAATACAATATTTAATTTGATTTGCTGTACACCATGTGTTTCCCCTTCCCTTTCCCGAAAGCCATGACCTCTGGTAACTCTCAGCTTTTGGAGTACATCAACTAGACACTCTCTACAAGTGTTTTATAATAATTACTTGTATCTCCTGATATTTTGGTCATGTCAATACTTGGACTGATTGGAAAAAGAGTAAAACATTACAGGAAAGGATTAGCTCTTTTCTGTTTTGTAAGTACAAACATTTCAGCCATCCTGAATTGCCACTTGAGATTTTTAAAATCTCTCAGTACTGCTGGCAGTTACTGGTAGTGATGGCTGATCACTCGTTTCTCACCTCTTGGTAGCTACTGTGGGGCATTTTCAAGGTCTGAATGAAATTCCAGATTTTTACAGTTGCGAAATTGGCAAATAATAACCCTATTGTAGTGTTATATGCAGTGGATATATGAGTTGTGGCTAGTTGGTTTGCTAGTTTAGGAATGCCAAAAGATCCTCAAAATCAGATTCTAAATTTTTAAATAAGAACTTCACAATTTCAGCAGTTGCACCTTTTTTTATGTCAGCTTAGGAATTCAATTGTAAATAACTGTTGACAGTAGTTTATAAAGAAGAAACAATTTTGTGATGATTATGTTAAGAGATATAGTAGCAAAGTAAACCAGCAATCCCATCATCCAAAGACATATGTGAGTACATTTGTTGAGAGAGAGAGAGAGAGAGAGAGAGAGAGAGAGAGAGAGAGATTATACTATACAGGTAAAAACTCCGGTGGTCATCTGTTGTCATTGTTGAAGGGAAGTATAAGATGATGTTAATGCCAAGTTTTGCTAAGAACACCAGATGCTAATTCTGCTAGAAAATGAAGTTGAGTAGAGTTTAAAAAGCAAACTTCAGAAAAATGGTAGCTGGCAAACGTTTGTCTTCTACGTCTCTTCTCTCATGATGGTTCCTACTCTCCTGCTCTGACAGGTGAATTTTAATTAGTGCAAAATATTCCAGATCTTCTGCTTCATTCCAAAGCCGCAAGCCTCATCAATCTTCCCTCTCCTTTTGAAGTCATGTTTTGTAATGTAGCCCTGTTCAGAAGTAAATCTCTTTTATAGGATGTGTCTCTGTTACTTGGTTACTTGCTGTTAAGTAGATTAGCAAGAAAGCTTATTTGAGATAGGTAGAGAAAGAAGGATGCTAAAAATTTTCAATTGCCTTAGTTGTAGATTTTAGATAAAAGAGGATTATTGCATCTTCCAGTGAAATTTCTGTTGCATGTTTATGGTGATAATATTGGGTGTTTGCCTTTCCTTTTTAAAAGCATAGGTAGTTGCATATTTTAACTGTGATGAAAGAGAAAGTGTGTTTATTTTCATACAAGGGCTATGTGTGTTAAATCTCTCAATAAACACAACATTCGGAACTCGGTGATATAATCAGATTGAAGGTAAAATAAATGCACCTCCATTAGTTTCTAATTCATTAATTTCAAATTCAGAGGAATGCATGAAAAAAAGGAGCAAGTGAGCTATTGAATGGAAATCCTTTCCTTCCATCGGTTTCTGACAAGAAGGATTCAATACTGAAACTGACAAGAGACAATGCACTGAATCTTGGGAGTACTCTGAAAGTGACAACTTTTGAAAACTGTCCAGTGTGGAACATAGAAACATTGGCTCAAAAGCCTTCAAAAGGTCTCTGAGGCGCTGCAAATTGATACACCTAAGGAACATTCTGCAGGGAGGGGAGATCTTGGAGTGCCCTAGGAGTGACAAAACAGGAGCAGCTTTCAGGTGCTCACAACTATGCAATTAATGATTGCATAGAGAGCAAGCACACTGGAGGAAACATCTTTATGTACATAGGGTCGTCTCTTGAGTGGGAACCTTGAATAATCACATGTGCAGGACTTAGGCTGGAGATGACACAATGGCAGGGGAGAGCCCCCGCCACCTGTCTGGATGGGGCACCGATGCTACAATTCCCTCATTGGGGCCTTAGTGGAACCTCTGCTGTCCTGCAACACCACAGCACCGGAATGGTGAGCGGACTTGTCGTTGGTTGCTTCTAAAATGAAGATCCTTTGTTCAGTTTGCCTCAAAGTCTGATGTTCATGGAGAGCAGTCCGGAACCTGACATTTTAATGCCATTTAGACAGAAAATGCCAAGGTTATAGGTAACGGATTACAGTAACTGCAGTTACTTCATTGTGAGGCCAGAGCCAAGGGAATTGTAATGGTTTGGAACTATGATCTCTACTCGTCAGATATAATAACATGTTATTTACATAATAGGTTATAGAAAAAAATAAACATTTCCATCCAGGAGCTCACTCTTTTTCAGATCACTTTAGCTCTTGGTGTTCTCTCCCTCTCCCCCCCACCCTTTCTCTCTGTCACACACACACACACACACACACACACACACACACACACACACAGGTATGACCAAGTCAAAGGAAAATGTGAGTTCAGAATTTGCTATATTGAAAGATAACTGAAATGGTTAAAAATCCATAGAGGCATATACTGAATGAAAATGAGGAAGAGGAAAAGAATTTGGGAAAGAGTACTGCTCAGGAATTTAGGGGTAAACAGGTTCAATTCACTGCTCCATCCCCTCAATCTTATGAGATCTATTATAAGCATGAAGACTATTCTAATTTTATGAAGTTAAGCTTGCTGAGAATGTATAAATGCTATACAATGGGTTCTGAAATAAAATCAAGCTGTTTGTCACATAGTAAATGGAAAATACTTGTCTGCAGAGACTTTTTGACACTTCTTCTTTGGAATTCCTCTAACACATACATGCTTCTGTAGAAATGGCATGTTTTTTCACGATTTCTTTGTTCCTGTTGACTGTGAAAAGACCCTGATAATGAGGATGCTGCATTGTTTCTGTCCATGAGCATGAGAACCCTGCCTTTATGTCTTTGTTTATGGAGAGAGAAGAGATCCAGCCACCACTGAACATTCTGAGTCCAAAGCTTAGTCATCTTGGTTACTGTCCCAGTTTGCACACTAATTGAAATGGAAACCGGTCTTTGTAGTGAAGGCAAAAACCAAACAAACAAAACAGAGCTCTATTGTCTGTTCCAAGGATCAGCTCCAAAATATTACTTTAACCTGGTAACAATTTATGACTGGAATGATGCCTCTTCTTTGCCTGAAATGAAGAGTGAAAATCTTTAATACTCTGGCTGTCCTCCCAAGTCCCTGATCTTTTATCAGGCCTCTTTCTGTTTTATAACTCCTATTCCGACAACACTTCCAGACCACAACAATAGCATCTCCCTGTGTCCATATTCCCTTTGTGAACAGAGATCCCCAGACATGGAACATCAAAATTATGCTACTATGGTGCCCTCTGGATGTTGTTGGACTCCAACTCCCATCAACCCCAACCAGCATGGCCAAGGATCAAGGATGATAGTGGTTGTAGTCCAATATCTTCTGGTGTGCAGCATTTTGACTACCCCTGAACTAGAGTCTTTATTGTTCAGTCATATTGTCATGGTTTTCCACTGTTTAGAATGAAAGATTTCCTAAATCTACTAAAGATTTGAAATAGAATAGAATTTGAAAAGGAGCTGCTTTGGAAGCAAATTGGATCTTCTTGTACACTGAGAGGGATCAAAATATGGATCTAAGAGGTTTCTACGTGCTACAAGTGGGAAGATTAGTAGAGAGAAAGCTATCTCTTCTCCACCCCCCCCATTAGCACACTTGCTTAAACTGCATATTAAAATTACTTACAGAGTGCATTTGGTGTTATTTCCTAACACCTTGAATTTACTTTAAAGATCTAGGGTTTGATTGCTCAGTACAACATTTATAAAATTGCACAATTGGCTCAGGGGTAAGTCAACAGCTCAGAATCAGGCAATAGGCCCAGTTTTATCACTCGAAATGTACTCACAATTTCCCATCTGCTTGAAGACTGAGATTTGTTGATGGCATCCTTTGAAATCACTTCTTTATATTTGTAGTTTGAAACAATTGCATCAATTACTATTAGATCTCCTGGGAACGAACGCAACCCTAATTGTGGTTCTACAGGTTTAATTTTGCCAGTCATGACATATCCAGGCTCCACTTCATTCTCTTTTTTTGCCTGCCAGCCATATATAAATTATTTCTCTGCTCTCACACACACCCTTAAAAAATTGTGTGTGAGAGACAGAAGAACCTATAGCTCCCTTAGATTTATAATACTTAAGACTGCCCTACCTTGTCCTTGTAATGCTCTTGTGTTCTCTCCACATTAAGTGTTTATGTGCCAAAAAGGTATACTATTAAATATCTGCCAGAGAGAAACAGGTTCACCTATCGTACATTAAGTGAACAAGGCATTCATAAGATGATAGGGAGCCACTGGTAAATTGCCCTGTTCAAGGCCTGGATAAGACAGACCTTGAAATCCTGCTGCGTGTTTTTTGTCCCTGAAAGGATTAATCAAGTCCCCAGTGAGATATATCTCATACTCTTGGAGACTAAACATCAGTGGATTATTGTTCTCTATATACACAACAATGAC